CCTGCTGCTCAAGAAGATGTACTCCTCAAGCCCGGACCTCATTTCAACCACGATGGAGGCTGAGGACCGGAGGAAGGGCCAGGTCCGGACGGGGCTGGACAGAGTGGGCAGCCAGAGCGCCTCAGCCGGGCTGGGGGAGAGCAGAAGGACTGAAGGGACTGAGGAGGGGCCGGATGTGGGTCTAGGGACTGATGACCTGGCAGGAACCCCTCCACGCAGTGACACGCCCAGCGAGGATGCAGCTTCCATCCCTTTTTCCAGTAGCCCCGAGTCACCATGTGGCAGGGGGGCCGCGGCGGGGAGGGCGTCCGTGCTCGGGAACCCCCGGGTTTCGCACGAGGGTGAGGAAAAGGAAGAAGGGACAGTGATCACACGCTCACCCAGAAGTCAACGCCTCACTCCTGCAGCACTGCTTTACAGGGCAGCCGTCACACGCAGTCAGGTGAGCAGGCATTGTCTGAGGATGCAGTTGGACAGAGTGATGTCTTAGTGTGAGCTAGCCCTGAATCTTTTTAAGGGGGCAAAGATTAATCGGCAGTGAGAGGCATTGGTGACATTAGGATTTCATTTGTTGCCACATAAGACAAAACATTTCCCTTTTCTTATTGTCTCTTGACTGCTTCACGGGTACAGAGCAGCATCATTAGAGGTGCTATGCTATGATGACTGACACTGATGAAGTCCAGATAATATAAAAACATTTTGATTCTAGTCGGCCAAAATAATGATCTTGTCTCTATTTATTACAATCCTTTTTTTTTCTTTTATAGATGCCATGTTGCAAATAAAGATAACACTGAAAAAACCCACTAAATAGGATGCAAGGATTTAATTAAAGTGGTTAATTATTGCTTCCTGAGCATTTGTCCGTTGCTAATTCCACTTCTGGTTTAATATGCATAAGCTACGGGTGTTTGTATGTTTCACAAATTAATTATGTGTGATAAATATGTAGAAGTAGTAAAAAGACTGATGATTCATTCATCCCGAAACTGTCAGTCACTTTGGCTTTACTGAAAGTGGCACTGTGCAGTTTGTACCCAGGGTGTCATCAGGGTGTCATCAGGGTCATATCCTACCAGATGGCTCAGGGATATTAGCAAGAATGAGGGAGATAAATGTGAATTGAAACATGAAAACACCAGAGTTTCATACATGCGGTTAATTTTCTCCACAGAGACGTGGAGTGTCATCAGAGGAAGAGGAAGGAGAAGTGGACAGTGAAGTGGAGTTGCCAAGGAGACGGTAAGAGTTGTTAAACACATTGAATGTCATAATCGAAGACCTACTATTTTAAGATTTCCATCTGTGCCTCCATACAAAATTCACAAGTTACTCTTCCTAAAACATATCAGAAATTACATTTTTAAAGCCAGAATAAGCAACGAAACCTGTGTAACACATAGTATGTGAATTAGCAAAAACATTATGCAAGTGTAAAATATTCAGCAATAAGGTAATGGAAAATGTAGCCTAAGAGACAGGATTAAGATTTTAGCATATAATTACATTTATGTGATTGTTTAACACTAACACCCTCCTTTTTAGTATTTTTCTGAAGAAGGTTTAAATATGCTGTTGGTCAGTGTTTTTGGTTTACCATAATTTGTATTGTATTGTTATAATTATATTAAAATATATATGTTGTTGTACTCTTTTCTACATTTTCTCAACCCAGGCGTCCCCTGAGCATGACCAAGTGCCAGTCCCTGTCCACCTTCAGCTCAGAGAACTTGTCGGTGTCGGACGGTGAGGAGGGGAACACCACGGACCACTCCCACAGCGGCACACCGGACGTGGTCAGCACCAACACCGACGAGCGTCTGGACGACAAGAGCGATGACCTGCTCTCCCAGGGCTCAGAGATCCCCGCCGACCCGTCCGACCCGACCCAGCTGGGCTCCGACGGAATGTCTGAGAAAGAAGCTATTCTTCGCCAAGTCAAGACCCAGCTGGCTAGTAATGATCATAATTTTGAGGTAGGCCGCAAAGCGTGAATACAATGAGAATTTACAATATAGTCTGATATAAAGAGGAAGGCAATAGGTCAGAATCGGCTTTTGTAGTAGTAGTAGTGAAAAGGTTTTGCTGTTCCAACCTTAAAGGTCACCTATTATGCAAAATCCACTTTTTCATGTCTTTTATACATAAACATGTGTCCCCTCTGTGTAAAGATATTCTGAACATTTCAGGGAAAAAGATTTGCTCACTTTCTTTGTCCTGATTCATTTATTTTAAAACCTGTCTGATCAGATTTTGGCCAATTTACGTATGTCATAACGATTTGTTGGCTTGTGTAACCATTAGCCAATAACCAACCAAGGTAACCCCCCCCCCCCCCC